GAATCAAACAACGTCGTTCATAGCACCTTTTGAGCAAGATTGCAATAAAACAAGTACTTCCTAAAAGAGAGACGTCCACATGTGCTTCACTAAGAAAGATCAGTGATAACAAAATACTGTGCAGGAAATGACATAATACACACAATGCTCATAGTAAGATTGAATGAGTCACTATGTGAATGATGGACAAGTGGAAGTGTCGGATCCTATTAGCCTCTGGTCATCCAGCGGGTTGTTCTTTAAGGGAGGTCCTGGTCCAGGTTCTGGTCCTGGTTCTGATCCCGATATATATCCGTACGTAGTATCTAGTCAAGTGTCTGTGTTTACCTTTTAGCATGTGCATGTACATTGAGAGCAGCAAAATAACAAAGTCAAAATTCATTGTGTGTGTACTTACTTGGACATTGAAGCTGATTGTGATTCTAGGAAGGACAGATCCTCGTATCTGTTGTCTGACATTCAATCAGGCAACAGTTTGAGTTATTCAGAAGTCAACAGCCGGATCTTAAAGTCAGTTCATAGTATTGATTTACAGGATTCCCTCTGGTGAGAGTTCATTTCACACTTTGAGTGGTTTTGAGCAGCTGCCACAGTGAGACCTCCAGTCTACTGTTTGAGCTAACAGTTATCTCCATTCTCCATTAATCATGCAAAATGTTCATCATAATGACTTCAGATTGCTTGTTTTGTCCAAAAAAATATTCCAAAACCCCAAATAGTACCAGTTTACTATCACAGAGGTCGAAGGAAATTAGCAAATATTCACGTCAGAGGTGCTGGAGTTTGTGAATTTCGGGCATTTTTTTTAATTGATCGACCAACTGTTTCAGCTCTGCTTCTGTTCAGAACAAAACAAATCACTTAAAAAAACATGTAGCAACACAGGAACACGTCGTGTAATATAAAGTGCTGTTGTTAACCGGTGTGTTTGTTTAACGGGTGAGTCCCAATACACCCTCTCTTAAATGGCACTCGTAATCTCACTTGTTTGTCTTTGGGGGGGGGGGGGTGTCCTGGTGGCCTGGTGGCCTGGTGGTTAAGAGGACACGGACCATATAACTGCACTCTGCCCGGTACCGTCCCAGACCTTTGCCTGCCTGTCATACTCCTGTCTCTCTCTTCACATGCAGTACTTTCTGTCTCTCTACTGTCACTATCTCAGAAAGACAAACTGCCAAAAAATATTCTTCAAGAAAGAAAAAGAGTGTATGTGTTTGTGTGTGTGCACCTCCAGGTGATAGCGGGCTCTGGTATGGACGTAGACTTCACCATCATCTCTCCAGAAGGCAGCCACGTCATCGTAGAGTCTCGACGCTCTGACGGAGTCCACGTGTGAGTGCTACCTCCTCGGTCACATATTACTGAGCTAGTCGGTCGCTTCATATTTGACATCATTTCCTGTTGTTCCAGGGTGGAGCCCACGGTGGAGGGAGACTACCAAATCTGCTTCGACAACAGCTTCAGTCGCTTCTCAGAGAAGATGGTGTTCTTTGAGATCATCATCGAGGGTCAAGGAGGAGATGTGGGTGGAGATGAAGAGTGGCCGGGATTAGTGGAGCCTGACGGAAGCCTTCTGGAGTACAAGCTGGACGACATCCGGGTGAGATGGTTGTTTGGGGTTTAGAAATGAATTCATGAAGGAATTCTAGTTCACTATGCAGCTGGCAAAACCAACAATCGACTGATCCGACTAACACATGTTGTCTGATATATGTTATTCCTCTGTTCCATAGAGCCACATCGTTGTCCAAATCCTATTAAAGGCACATCAGTGACGAACATACACACTGTAGGTTATTTAGAGTCAATCCTACGTACACCGTCCCGTTGCTGTAAATACTCCCTCGAGTATATTCATCCACGCCTGAAAAATAGTCCCCAACAAATGCACAATTTTATCAATCGATTCAATTAACTTATTTAGCTTCTCTTCTTCGTGGAACTATATGTCACTTCAGTAGGGACACATTGAATTTGAGGCTGAGTGCCACAGTCAGACTGGGGAAGTGGGAAAGTATTGAAAGACGCAGTCGTGGTTTTGGTCTCCTCATGAGATCTGCTGACTTTATGGAAAATATAGAATAACGTCAGCCTCAACCTTTTAACTGATGCGCGTCTACTGGACGTCGACTCCTAACTGCTAAACATGAGCTACCGTGGGGGTCAGACTAGCTGGACCAGACCAACATAATGGTTCGGTCCATGGCATGACCCGGCATTATGACACACAATCAAAACCAGCTCAGAAAATAAACATGTCTGCTAAAGTCGAGTCGAGAGTGATTTAATATTCTGTGTACTTTTGAGTCTTCTCTGTCTCTCACTTCCACTTCTCTCTCATTACAGCCACCGCTTTCTGTTTGTTTGAATCCCTAAAACCTTCCTCTGATTTTCCTTAGGAGTCCATGGACTCTCTGCACAAACGCTTGGAGCGCAGCCGGCAGATGCAGACGGTGTTGCGGGCTTTTGAGGCGCGGGACCGAAACCTTCTGGAGGACAACCTGTGGAGGGTTTCCTTCTGGTCCTGTGCCAGTGTGCTGGTGATGCTGTGTGTGGCCTTTACCCAGGTAAACGGAGCGCCCGACGCAGCACTTCTAATTTGAGTGTGTCGCACACCGACATCATGCTATCTTTGTGTGTATTTCCCCATCGCCAGGTCTACACCGTCCGTAAACTGTTCGACGATAAGCGGAGGGTCTACACATAATAGAGGAGAACAATCGAGGACAAGATGTTCAGCTGGTTACCCATTCAGACTTTGCTCTTATTATTTTCATTTAGTCGACATGAACACCAGCATTCGTCGTCAGTTTTAACGGATTTTACGTCTAAAGTCTTGTTTTAGATCAGCTTGTGAGCAATAATTAAATATTATGAGATGATGGAAGGGTAACCAGAGGAGGAAGATGCTTATTTTGATTTCATTTAGTGCCTTTTAATGTCAAATCTCACCACAAACCAACGAGGAAATGCATTTTAAAAAGGCACTGCCTGCATAGACGGAGCAGTAAATATTGTAGCATAACTATGTTTGTGAAACTGGTGAGAGGTTTTTGGAATATTTCGTCAAAGGCCAGATTGTCCTCACTAAAGGTTAAAGGTCGGTTTACATGGGATAACAATGTGCAATAGTGTCGTTGCCGTATTTGTTCTTCCTAAAAGTTAAAGATCTCTCCATCATATTAGTGAGGTGTCCGTCTGACCGGCCGTCAGCTCTTTTGAGACGTTACTGATTTCTTTTCACGCGTCGGCTCAGGTCCACGCCGACCTGTTGCCAGTAAGAATGTAGAATCACAAAGAGGGATGATTTGCAGTGCGATTGCCAATAATGTACAACGTGTCAGTGCTCTTCCAGACAACTGTGTAGTACGTATGTGTGTGTCAGTTCAGATATGTATCAGGATAATTCAGTGTGAACATACGGATTATTAGATGTGTGTTCTTGTCTTCTAGATGATCAAACTTTCTTTTTTCTCAGATGTTTGTTTGTGTCAACAGAATGTGACATTTTGATTCTGCTCAGACAGCCACTGTGTGTTTTTAAAAAGAATAACAGGCTTTCCTTACATATTCAGTAGAAGTAAAAAAAAAAAAATCAGGTTTACATTGGTCATTGATATTAATAAATACATTTTTTACACAGGAAATACTTGGTTTGATGTCTTCAATGAATAAAACATGGTGACACAGATTCATCTTTTGAAGTGTGTTTTGTCAGGTCGGCATATTGTGCATCATGAGAAACCTTAGTGCTGTTAACACCGACATGATTCATGATCTAATGACAGCATGTGAGGCTTTAAACCACAAGAAACCACATGTATTTAGTATTTTTCTTTCATACAAACTTGTTTTCATACAACCCTGCTTGTCAATATGCAGTATTTTCCCCAGAGCCACCTGGAGGAAGCAAGACACTATTTCTGCTGCTGTCGCTCCCCCTAACGTCTGACCTTAACCTATAAAAACACCGTCAAAATCAACGTTGGCATTATCTGACATTAAGTTGAAGTTGGTATAGAGAGTAAATACCAGGTATATTTGATTAGATACTTAAAGAATCAGCATGAATTAACTGCACTTGTTGGTGAATAGTAATATCTGAAAAACACTGGATTTGATGAAATTGCCAAGTTACATCGAGGCATTCCTGCTTTATATTGAAGTGTAAAGTGACGTGGCTGCGAGAGAGGAGCTTATGAGTTACATTTATTGTTCATAGTATGAATTGTCAGATTTTCCAGTATAGCAATACAAGAAAACATTTGCATAAGTGTTAATTACGTTATTCTTTAGTCTAGTAGGAAGAAATAAGAGACAAAACATTTCATGATAGTTTCTTGATGTTTTAATTTGACACATTTTTCTCCCGTTTCCTTGTCGACTCATCCGCGCTCAGGTTTGGCAGACATTACAAGTGAGGAATTATGAGACAGTATTTCAGTGGTACTAATAAAAAAGAAAAACTGATGATTATTGAACTACAGTATACATTAAATACTAGAAATACAGTGGAAGCTTAACACACCTGTATGTACAGCGGTGATCGGTTACATTGTGAACAAGGCAAGCCTAACACACAGAAGATGATCCAGCCACATCCAGAGTCATAATCCTGCATCTTTACCTTCTTTAAATGTCTAACAAAAAACAAAGCATCAACGGTTTCAGAGCGAGGATGTAGGAACAGCTCTGGACAACAAACGCTTCGGTACACCGGAACTTCTGAAGCCAGACTCTTCCAGCTCTTGATGACTGAGTCCAAGTCGGAGAGTGCTCGACAGAGTTTCCTTCACCAGTGGTTGGGACGAGATGGGACGTGTGGAGGTCGCCTGTGTGAGAAGACCATGCAAAGATTTCTGCGCTCAGTTTCTGTTCTTACGTGGATTAGTAGCAGCTGACTGACACAACGGAGAAGAGAACAGGAGTAAGACTGCATACCTTCAGTCATTCCTGCCCGGCTCTGTGAACAGCCCAAAAGGAGTGAGTAACACTGTCTTTACTGTGTGCAGCCCACAGCTCCGTCATACAGTGAGGAAGGAAGGACGGAGGGGAGGTCATGCCAGGCTGCGCACAGAAAAGTGAAACGTTCTTGTTCTGCATGGCTGTCTCTCCGTTTGGCTCTCATGCAAGTCAAAAGGTCTCGACCTGGACTCTGTTGCGCAACACTCACTGAACTGTACGCCGACGGTCACATACAGTGACAGCAGGTAGGTGTACTACACGTTTACTGTCATGTGCACGGACAATGACGGAACCAACAACAAAACAAGACGAAGGAAGGCTTGGTGGTGCATGAGAATCTGAGACAAGAATTGAAGCAAAGAATGTCTAAACAGCGAGAACAAGCACCAGCCAGCACACCTTCTGTTTCTATTCCTTTATTCAGTCCATCACGTCCTGCACCTTCTGAAGACCCCTTTCTAAACATGAGCCTATTTTTCATTATGGCTTTTTTAAGGTGATGAGTAATTACAAAATACAGTGTTTTGCTCAAGGCACTTGGATACATATTTCTATAAGAATGAGCAGTGGTTGGAGGTAACCGTCTGAACTAGAGAATAATTATCAGTAATACACTAGAAGACACCTGTGCTTTTCCCCCAGCACCCTTCCTCCTCCTCTTTCTCATTTTAATTGGTCCACAAGAGAAACACCAAAAACCAATAACTGAAAAATCTAATAGTGATAAGCCAAAAATATTGAAGCATACAAATTCCATCGCTCAGTCTGAATTTAATGAGCTCATTTGAAAGCTTTGAAAATCAAACAATGAAGAGAGAAAGGACTTTATCGAAAAGTGCCGCTTACTTAATGAGGTGCTTAGTGTGTAAGATTACCGACAAAACGTTAGCAAGTATACAACCCACAAAAACATTACCTCCGACAGTTTTCTTACCAAGTTATGAATCGTTTTAAGACATTCCATTTCAAATGAAACAGCAAAAGATGACTTGCTGGTTCATAATCTTTAAGTCAATAACATCATCAAATGGATCCCTTTTCATAATACTGAACGCAGAAGATTTCATCATATTCCTTGTTAAAAAAAAAAAAAAAAGCTACCTACATATTAAGTCAAAAGTACATATATAATGTTTCTGAAATGCACAGACTAAAACAGCATCAGATTACCAGTTACAGTAGGACAAAGTTTGTAGTTATAGGAATATTCATGGAAAAATTATGACTATCTCTGCTCAGGAGAAATATAAAAGTGTAAACAAAAAGGGTTTATTTTGTGTGTGTGTTCTAGTCAAGCAGGGAGGGCTCTGAAGGACGTATGACAGTGGGTCGGTTTGGAGCAGCCGGAGGTCTTCTGCTGCAGAAAGAGAGGAGGAGAGGGGGAGGGGAGAAGAAACATGCAAGGAATAATATCATCAGATAGTCATGCACCAAAGATTCCCAAAACACCAAAAGCCAGAGCATACAGGACAACCCTTCACCAGCAGCAGTCCCAATTGTCCCAACAACTTCCATTAATACCAAAGTCACGAAAGCCATCACATTGTGTGTGTGTGTTTACGATTGTACCTGGGAATCCCGGGCGGCAGTGCAGGAGGCACGCGGGCCGGCCTGGAAGGGATAAGAGGCACAACACCAGAGTTAGGATCGCCTGCATAGGCCGTTTGGCCTGGTGGTCGCAATGGCACGGGTGGTGCTCCGAATGCTGGTGAGGGGTTGAGAGGGGGTGGAGGGCCCGGGGTGGGCCCCTTCACCCCTGGGGGTCGGCTGGGAGGGGCCACTGTTGCTGAGGCGGGGCGGGACGCCGGTGGAGGACTGACAGAGAGACAGAGCGCTTTAGAGTGAAGAGTCACATTTTATGCGGAGAAATAACGTGACGCTGATTAAGAGATAGAAGTCTGTTTACTGGTTGTGACAGTTTGTGTGCATCCCCACTACAGCTCGACTGACTCTAGATTTTTTTTAGGCGGATGGTGATTTTGTTTACGTAAACACATGACAGCAATCTTTATTCCTTAGATTTTTGTTTTACCAGGATACATAATCAGGACATTGTACAGTAGAACAATCAACAGTGGCCTCCTGTGGCCAAAGTATGTAATGGTGACTGTTTCTACAATACCTCAAACCTACTTTGGCACGATTGCACTCTGGCCCGTTTACACAGACACAGATATATCTGCAGAATATTATTATTATCGGCCGATGTATTTGTGTTGAATCACGTTCGTCACCTTGGGTCCTTGGGGATCCATTTGTCGTCTACTGGTGGAGGCACTGGGGTAGAAATAGTGGTGGTGGTGATGTCTCCAATCAGGACCAGTGCCTCTTTCAAAGCATGATACATCCTCAGCATCTCATCTCTCCTCTGAGCCTGCTCTGGCGACTCCTCCATCAAACTGCCCTGGTCCCCGGCCGAGTACAGGTAGGCCAGCAGCTCAGAGTGGATGAAGTCCTTCGCCTGGAGATGGGAGACAAAAAAGGAAGTTAATACAGCTAGACAGCAAGGCAAGAGAGAGTGACCCGTGTTATCGATAAACGACCTTCCATCTCATACCTCTCTAGGTCTACAGTGTGATTGGTGGTAAAAGAGACAGAACACGTACGCTGTTGATCATGAGGTGCATGATGGTCTTGGGCATGAGGTCTCTGATGGACTTGTTGACGATGCCGATGTAGGAGTCCACCAGGTTGCGGATGGTCTCCACCTGCCGCTCCAGCTGAGGGTCCATGGACACGGTGTCGCTAGGATTCATCGCATCTTCGCTCTCAGGCTGGAGGAGACCAAGACGAGAGAAGGAGTCGTGAGGGATGCAGACGCAGAGATGCAGTATTTAAACTGCGAATACACTCTTGTGTACCTGGTCTTTCTCTGGGTAAACACCAGCTCTGAGGAAGGAAGCCTTCCAGCTGTCAACATCCTCCTGAGTGTCACATGCCAGCTCAATCTGACGCAGGTCTTTATACACATTTCTGTAAAACACACACACACACACACACACATTAACCAAATATCAGAACAGACAAACACCTTAAACACAATTGTTTTAGAGGATCAAAGCATCCACACCTCTGTTCGGTGTTGAAGATGGCAAAGACATGTTTGCTGGACATGAAGCCCTTCTCCACATCTCTCAGCTTCAGGTTGTCGAGAGGCAGCATGTACTTCTTCTCCTTCTCCTGATGAAACAGTGATGCAATGACAAACATAAAAGAAGGCAGACTGTAACGAACAAACCATCAACTCACCGGAGCAACCTCAAGTGAGTTCGACAAGTTAGATCCTGCGGCACATGACTACAGATTTACTGTAGCGTTAGAGTAATAACTCTACTTTACCAGATGGAACTTTTATCTTTGAAAACACGCCCCCCTTCCTCCCTTTCACATAAAATAAGGCGAGTAAACAAAACATTTTCCTGCATTTACTGTCCCGTAAGCAGCCTTACCTCCTCATCTTTGTACCAGGAGAGAGACTCAGCGGTCAGGACAAACCAGTAGTCCTTGGATCCCCCCTTCATGATACTGATGTTGATAGTGAGCCAGCCTCTGCGGATCACCTGCATGTGAGAGCCCAACAGTTGAAGAAACTACACACCCCACAAGAGGAGTAGGTAAAACATATCTACAGAACGCAAACAGAATCCTAGAAACACATGAAAGACTAAATATAGTCACAACAGCCATGCAAGAGCAGCAGTATTCTTCATGAAGAAAAGAAGCGCA